GAAGAGGGAAAACACAGATCCTGCCTGCATCATGAAGCTCACGTCATAGCCAGCCAGTGATGCTCTTGTGACAGATGCTTGTCACCATGTGGAAAGTGCCAAGCCGATGGTGCGAGGAGGGCAGTGGCTTGTGCGGACTCTGGGCTGGCCCTGCGCTTTGTGGTGCCCCTACCTCCTGACGCACATCTCACTGGAGCTTCCCCTCAGAGGATGGAGGCACAGGCCACAGCAGATGCAGGAGAAACAGATGCTGCCCCTGGAGGCCTGTCCCCTGAAGTGGCTCCTGTCAGGGGCACCGGGGAGGCCAGCAGTGGCCAGCAGTGAGGAGGAGCCCTTCAGTGGACTTTGCTTCAGAAAGCAGCAGAAGTCAAACAGTAAAACGGGCGAGTGGGCAAGGGAGGCACCCTGTAAAAGGCAAGAGGGGATCCGACATGTCTGGTGCCGGCAGGAAGGGATCCAGCATGTCCGGTGCCGGCAGGGAGGGATGAAATGCTGGGACCAAAGTCACTATCTAGGCTAGAGTGGGCCCCAGCTCACAGGATGAGGCGTTCCAGAGCCTGCCAGTTCTTGGGGAGAAGTGGGGTGCTTGTTTCTGAAAGAGGTGGGGGAGGGAGAAGGAAAGGGAAAGTTCATTCAGTTAGATGGTGGGGGTTGGAGTGAGGTGAGGGATGCAGGAGGAACAGGAGAAGCCATGGATGAGCATCTAGGAAAGTGGCAGGTAGATTTCTAACTGAAGTGTGAGAAGCTCAGGGCAGCAGGGGTCCTGGTGCATAAGGGACCCAGGCACATGGGACCCAGAATCAGCATAACGCTGTCTCCATGGCCCTAAAAAGAAAAGTAGATGAAGTTAGGCTTCCTGTCAGGAACCATGGAGGGAAACTTGGGAAGCTGAGTTTTCAAAGATGATTCTAGTAGTAAAGGATGTTGGGACCTGCCACAAAGGTTAGACGGTAAGGGTGAGAAGGTGGATGAGCTGTGGGAGTCGGGGAGGTAGCTGGCAGAGCCCTGAGGACACCAGGGAAGGGGGCTGCTGAGGTATCAGGAAGGAAAGGGCCTGGCAGGGGGAGGAATGGGGACCAGACTTCACCTGGGCAGGTGGAGTGACATCACAAGAAGCCTGGGGAGCTGTTGTGAAAATGGAGAATTCCTGACCCAGAATCTGTAGAGTATCATGCAGCGGCATAGCTTCCAGAGGGTTAGGTTTAAAGAAAGGGCCTCAACTTTTCAAGTGTGAATGATGGGATTCATGTCTCCAGGAGAGCTGGCTTCCAGGGAGTATAGAGTGGAATGAGCCTTCCAAGAAGACAGTGCCCTGTAAGTCAGGATGTCCAAAGGAAGAGAGACCTACTGACCAGGGTCCCGTGAACTGGGGCTGTCCTGGGAAGGGCACTTCCCAACATCTCGGGATGTTGGGTTCCTGAAGTACCACTAACCTGCTCGCTGTGGTTTTCACGTCTGTCTCAGAGCATTGCCGTGTGGGCCTGGGAGGTGCTTCTAATTGAGAACAAGGAGCTAGCTAGACCAGCAGAGACGCTGAGAACAGAACGAAGCACCATGCGGAAGGATGCCTGTGGGGGAAAGCCAGAGTGCAGGGCAAGTCAGCGCCCTGGCCCGCTGGGCTCTCAGGAAGGTGGGGGCATTTCTTGCCAGTATTATCACTTCCCAAGACTGCCACTTGCCACTCCTCCATGGAAGCGAGAGTTTCTGCCAGAATAATGACAATCCATAGATACTGAGGCACCTGGAGAGGAGATGATGTGCTCCCTCCTCCTACCTTAGAAAAGGCTCTCTGTGGAGGGAAGGGAAGAAGTTGCCTGGAGACAGACACATTTGATTTTCATCCCAAGAAAGGAAAATTCTGATCCATGTGCCCGTGAGTTCAAGGCCTGCCCAGGTAGAATGGGAAGCAGGTTTTCAAAAGGGCATGTGCAGGCACACAGAAGAGGGGTCCTCAACTAGATTAGGCCCCCTGGATGGGTGAGACAGTTGATTGGCTTGATCTGTTTGGGAGGCATCCAGGCAGTGGGACCGGGTCCTGTGCTCATTGCATGAGTTGGCTGTTTGAAACCTGGGGCCTATGCAGGGTTGCTTGGCTCGGCCTGGGAGGAGGGGACTAGACCTACCTGGACTGAGTCTACCAGGTTGATCTCAGTCCTCGGGGGAGGCTTTGCCCTGGAGGAAATGGGAATGGGGGGTGGGCTGGGGGGGAAGTTGAGGGGGGCGGGAGGGGGGAGAACAAGGGAGTCTGTGGCTAATATATAGAACTGAATTGTATTGCAAAATAAATAAATATAAATAAAAGAGTGACTCATTTGACAGGGACGCTTCACTAAGAGGAAAAACTGGAATTTGTGCCCCTTTAGTTTTTCTTGGTTAGCAAAACTGTGTAAGTTGGGTACCTTTGGCCTTCAGGGTGGTATTTGAAAAAGTAGTTTATTGGTTTTGTTTTCAGCTCTTGTTGTTTTATTTTGTTTCTGAGGCAGGGTCTTACAAGGTAGGCTTCACCGGCCTGGTAACAGCTGTGTGGTCAACCTAGGCTGACCTCAAACTCATGGTCTTCCTCCTGCCTCAGCCTCCTGGGTTCTGGGATTATAGACATGGGTCACCTTGCTCCGTATATTCCTTGGCGAGTTCATAGGCATGTTGTGGGAGAGTTGTTCATACAGCCATTCCATTGTCGTTACAGCAGGTGGCCAGGGTACAGAGACACGAGTGCTTTGTCTGAGCTCAGTGCTGCTTCCTCGAAGCCTCCAGGTGTGGACTGGGGCTAGTGGCGGTGCGAGCCTGTCCCAACCCCACCCTGCTCAGGACTGTGACTCGGCTGTGGACGTAGAGGTTTGTGCCCCAAACAACCGAGACCTGCTAAGGAGGTTGTGCATAACAACCGGGGAGGCTTCCAAAGCTGCAGCACTCCAGATTGCCTCTGTGCCGAGAGCCCACGGAGGAGAGAGTGATGGGGTTGATGCCCATGTGTGGGAGTCTGTCCCGTCCGCTGTGCAGCTCATGCGCTAAGCGTCTCACAGAGATGTTGGGTTGTGTTCGGTAGTAGACGGTAGTTTAATAACAATTCACCTCCCCCCTGTGTTGGGCATTACAGGTCACCGGGGGAGAGAAGCCACCGCCACCCTGGAGAAGCTCTAGTTAGCTTTAGACCACTAACAGCCAAGTGCGGAGTGTCCACAGTCAGACCCCTGGAGTAGAGATGTAACTTGGTGGCTTAGGAGAAAGAATGACTGACAGTCACAGAGGTGGCAGAACTAAAGCAACAGGACAGTGGGACACTCAGGCTATTACGTGGGAATGTCTCTGGATAGGAGCAGTGAGTGGCTTTGCCCCCCTGCCTGATGAGTGAGCTCTCTAGTGGGGCACAGGACGGCATGGACCACTGTCAGTGGGCCTGGCATGGGGCGGGTGGGCGGGGGCATCTTTTTAGATCTGTGCATGAAATACTTAAGAAGAGCAGAAGTGCTCACTGTCAAGCACGGGACAGCTACAGAAGGGGAGGGAGCTCCATGATGAGTGACCATCTTGGAGTCTGGTACCTGTCCTAGGGACCAGATGGGGGCTTTGGGGGACACAGACTGTCTGGGAAGTTGTTGCTTTGTTTTGTTTCTTGGTTTTAGTGATGATGGTTTGTTGATTGGTGGTTGGCTGATAGGTAGGTAGGTAGGTAGGTAGGTAGGTAGGGTTTTGTTGTTTTAGAGAGCCTGGGTCTCACTATGTAGATAAGTCTGTTCCGGAACTCTCAGCTCCTCCTGCCTCTGCCTCCTAAGTGCTCAGTTAATGGTGTGTGCCACCATGCCCAGCTAGGGGTCACTGTTTTCATTTCAAACCTTATCCTCACCACCACCACTGCAGCCAGCCTGCCCCCCACAGCCTAAAGTGGGGCTCGGGACTGCTGGCTGTCCCTGGGGTACAGATCACCCCGGGAGAGGAACCAACTGCATGAGCTGGAAACCCTGGAGCCTGGTAGAAGTGGAAGGGTGGGTGGCAGCATTGGGGGATAGACCGGAAGGTGGTGATCAGTATCCATTAGCTCTGTGGTGCTCTTCAGAGGGGTCTCAGAATGGCTTTTCAGAGGTGGATCCCCAGCTTCTAGGGCTGGCAGTATTCAGAAAGCAGGAGCCAAGCGGATAGGAGTCAGTGTAAGCCTTTCTGTCCTTGGAGTTGCAGGACTCCTGAATCATGACCCACGGACTCTGAAAACTTGGCGTGTGGTGAGGTGCACCACTCATGCTCCTGTCCCCTGCTCGGTGTACTGTTCTGACTTGCATTCTGACTCTTCCCAGTCTTCTGGCACCACTTTGGCCTTTCTGGTAAAGATAAAGTAAATAATGAGTTGAGTTTTATTTAACATGAACTACTGTATTTGCACATTGGCTTTCAAGCCTCTCTATGGAGCTGAGCCAGAGGGACTCTTCTTCACCTGTAGCTGTACGGTATTGGCTTGGAGACACTCCTGCAGGCTGTTGATGAGAGTTGTGGCGTGTTGTGCCACCTCTCACGGATGACAAAGTGAAGTCACAGCCGCGTGTAGTGCTGCAGAGAGATCAGGAATTGTTCACGCTTTGTGTGCAGGTTACACCCACTCAGGACAAGTCTCTCTGTGGGTTTGTATGTGTTAGTGTCTCATTCCTGGTACATCAGGGTCTATAAGGGAAGGAGAGGGAAGACTCAGAATCCGAAGTTTGACATCCTGCTGTCCCTGATGTCGTGTGTGAGTCTGTGAGGTGCCAGGAGTCCAGTGGCCGGAAACAGAGGATTTCCAGTGCCTGCTTTGGGCTGGGAGGTGCACATGGCCAAAGTGCCTAGATCTGTTCCCTGCCAAAGCCCCAGACCTCCAACCCAGCCACCCTTGTGTGCACGTGTCTCAGGAAAGATGGAAAGATCTCATGTGTTAATGCTGGAGGACATTGCTGAAGTGGGGATCGCCTCCTTTTCTTTGCTCTGTGCTCCAAGCTCACCTTTGCGTTCTTTTGCCTTTTCTGGTTCGGTTGCAGACACGGGGCTGGGTGACTCGGTGTGTTCCAGCCCAAGTATCTCCAGCAGCACCAGCCCCAAGCTTGACCCGCCCCCCTCCCCCCACGCCAACAGAAAGAAACACCGGAGGAAGAAAAGTACCAGCAACTTCAAGGCTGACGGGCTCTCAGGCACTGCTGAAGGTAAGGGTCCCCAGGCTGCCAGGGTGAGCGTCTGCACTGTGGAAATGTCCTTGCTCATGAAGACCGCTATTTACCTAATGGCCAGATGTGGACTTTCTGAAGTGTCTTCTGCAAGTGAATTTAGTATGTTTTTATTCCGTACATGCAAGTAGAGATATGTGCATGCATACACACACATGCATGCACACAAAGATAGGAAGTGTGAATGGAACTGAACTTAAGAAATACTCAAAAGAAAACCAAAAATTTGAAACATTGTTGTATTAACAGCAAGTTTTGTTAGTGAGATGGACAGTAACAGAGTTTAGCTTGATCAAAGGTTCCCATTCTTAGAGACTACCTTGTCATTCAGAACCTTTCTCTTTCCTTGCATGCCAAGCTTTTCCCTGAACATTCTCCTTTTTTGTCCAGAACTGTGGATTGCAAGATGCTACTCCCAATGAGGTTTTGTGAGCCCACAGCACATAGCAAGCGACAAGGACCAGTGGGGCTCAGCAGGGTGCCCCATCATTTGTGAGGTGGACCATGTTGTTTTGGGTGTCGTCATGAGGAGGCTGGAGTCTAGAGCCTCACAGATTGGGGTTCCTTGCAGGGCCCTAAGCTCTTCTCCTTCACCAAGGTTCATCCGGTTCTGTCCCCAGCAGCTTCCTGCTGACAAGGTTAGGCCGTGAAGACCAGTTTTCTTATAAGGATGATTCTGCCATGTCAGCAGTCATGGAAAGTAACATTGAAGGGTACAGGCACTGAGTTAGATGCCGCTGCTCTAGCTCCCACTAGAAAAGGTTCTGCTCAAATGCTAAGAGCTATTGAGACCTCATCAAGAGCCACCAGCTGATGTCAGCTCCAACCTGCCCCAAGGAGAGGTTGGAACAAGATGGCAGTACTGCTACCCATCCCAACCTCCAGCCTAGGGACCCAAGCAAGAGTTTCCCTAACTATTGTCCTAAAGTGCATGTCATGTAACAGATAAGTCTCTCAGAACATGTCACACGTTTCCAAATGGTGTTTGTTCTTAATGTCATAGCACAACTGAAGGCCAGTTCTCTACAGCTGCTCTCATGCGTTTCAGTCACCTACACACATGATCTGTGCCTAAAGCTGTAAGAGCAAGCCTGCGGTAATCCAGAGGTAGTATGTTCAGCCAATGGGGTGTTGAGAGGAATGTGGAACGTGACCTTCACTGACTTTCTGAGCTCATGGGGTCATCTGGTGGGTGCTATGCAATAGTGTGCCGTCAAGCTGAGATAGGGTGACTCTATCCTAACAGACAGACACATGGCAGCTTTGGGGGGTAGCTCTGTAATACTTGCCTTCTAAATATGGGGAACTGAGTTTGAGCCCCAGAACCTGCCTACATAAGCCAATCATAATGGTATGTGTTTGTAATCTTAGCACCAGGGAGGTGAAGACAGGCAGATGCCTGGCATTCACTGGAAGGCCAGCCAAATCCACTTTGGCAACTTCCAAGCCAGTGAGAGATCCTGCTTCCGAAACAAGCTAAAAAAAAAAAAAAAAAGGTGTACAGTGCCTAAGGAATGATGCCCAAGGAATGATTATCCTGTGTCCTCCCCATGAGCATGCCTGTGCATACAGGTACCACAGAAACACATAGATTAGAAAGTCACAACAGTGTCTCAAGCTAGGCTGGATGAGTGGGCAGCACATCTTCAGAAGTTTTGGATGGGTCTGCAGAGACCACCCCTCAGTTCGCTGTCAGTTTCTAATAGGAAGTAAGTTCTAATAAAGCCGTCTGTATAGTTTCCCCGAAAGTGTTAACCTGCCCCACTGCCAGCGTGTCAGTTGTACGAGGCCTGTATGTGATTAGCTAGTCTATGACAATGTTTTCCCACATCTTAATGTTCCTTTTTTTTTTTTCTTTTCTTTTTTGAGTCTGGGTCTCACTATGGAGCCTCAGCCAGCTTCAAGCTCATAATCCTCCTGCGTGCAGCATGTGTACATCCCACAGTGCATACTTCTAAAGTCAGATTGTGTGCTATTACTCTACCGTTGACACACCGTGTGTGGTCTTCAGGCCTCTCTGGTCCTTAGATGACAGAAGTCTGAAGTCTGACAAGCAGTGTCGCCTTCAGAATAAAGCCAGTTGTGTGAACACTTGTGTTAACAGTGCTGTTTGGTTGTGAGACTGTTTCTGGGGACTGGAGAGATGGCTCAGCAGGTCAGAATACTGGCTCCTCTTTCAGAAGACTCGGGTTCAATTCCCGCACCCACGTGGCAGCTCACAGCCATCTGTAACTCCAGTAACACAGATATTCATGCAGGTAAAACATAATAGACATAAAATAAAAATTAACTCCTTCAAGAAAGTAAGAAGGAAAACAGCATGTTTTCTGTTGCTCACTCCGGGGCGGTGCTGACTGCTGGTGGCCTCAGATGTCCCCTACTCATGGCCTCCTGTTTTACCTCTGCCGTCTGAGACACACACAGTGCCCCAGCACAGGGCTTCTGACCCTCTTCTGGGACTCATTTCCACCTGAAAAAGGGTTTTGCAGCCCCAGGTATAAAGAGATATAAAATAGGTATTCAGATCTATAAATAATAAATGATGAATGTATTTTAAAATGATTCTTTTGCAGATGTACAATATAATTTTTAATATTTATTAAAGACAAAAGTGGGGCTAGTTGCTAAGAGCACTTGCTGCTCTTCTAGAGGACCAGAGTTCTGTTCCCAGCGCCCATGTTAGATGACTAACAACCACCCACAGCACCAGCTCCAAGGGCTCCAGTGCCCTCTTTTGGCCTCCAAGGGCACTGGGATATACATAGCATGCACGTGTGCGTGCATGCGCACGCGCGCGCACACACACACACACAAATTAAAAACAGCATTTTTAAGAGACAAAAGCACACCTGCATGCCCATGAGATGGATGTTTCTTTATTCTTGCATAAAAAATTAAATCTCGGCTGGATGTCAGATACCACAAGGTGTAGAGCATCTTCAACATTTTTCAGACTTGATAGATGTTTTGATTTTATAATCATCAGCTGGGAATGCCACTTTGCATAAATACATACTACAAAATAGTAGAGTGTGTGTAGGGCCATTTTCGAAATGTTGGAAAATTTCTCTCAACCCTAAGCTAGAATGCATTGAGTGATCTTATTTTTAATGGAAGTCAAGTCAGCAGCTCCAAGGGTAGTCTTTAAACCCAAACATTCTAACAGTTTTCAGAGGTAGACTAATTTGATGCGGACGCTCTGAGGAATGACTATAGGAAAATACTAAGTCTTTGTTTTCTTATATTTTTGTCCCTTATATTTTTATAAGAGTACAGTGTAAACACTGCAGTCCAGAGAAGGCCGTTGTCTGGGGTCATGGATCCACTGTGTAAGAAGCTGGGCTATAGAAAGTATCTGTGAGGTAGTTGGATGCTCTCTCTGCCTTCCGCTTTCCATGATGGTAACGAACAACTACAATCAAACATTTTAAGAGTATAAAAAAGATAAAATCCCATTGATATCTAATTCAGTCAGAACCGTAGGGGGAAAGCTGGTGGTGTGCTCAGGCTGGTCAGTACAGATTTACCGAAGGGTCTCTGGCGACATGAGAAAGGACCTGGAGAGGAAGTGAGTGGGGGAGGGAAGTGTTCCTGGCAGATGCTGTGGCCTTCCATAGAGGGATGGGTGCAGTTCAGCCATGGTAGCCAGAAGTCAAGGAAGTGCCTTACCTGCCTCCTCATCTCCTCCCCCCGTCCTCAGTATAAGTGAACCGACAGCCAAAGGCCTGAGCCTCCAAGCTGCTGGCCCCACCTGTCACCTCCACGGGGCCTCTTGCACAGCCCTGAAGAAAGCTGCCTGTAGTCCTCTTTCACACATGCCACAGACCAGAGGCCTTGGAGAGCTAAGGGGTAGGCTGTGCATGAGTGCAGGAGCCCCAGGACTCCCTGCATGCCCCTGGGTGCCATCCCCAGCTGCATGGCAAGAGCTGCTCACAGGCTTCCTGGGATGTCTCCCTCTGCGGTTTCTGCAGTCAGAAATGCAGGCTGAAAGACTGTGTCAGTGTTTATGTTGCTTCAACTTAAGAAATAGTGCCCGACTGGTACCTTAGTGTGACACCAACAGCTACTCTAGCTCCTGTGCACTCAACTCAGGTCTTGGGGATGAACACCACTGCAGTCTACACCATGAGACAGAAGATGTCTTTCCAAGCTTAAGTAGAACAGCTGTTATGATTTTAATACTGACACATATGTGTGCAGATGCTGTTGATTGTATACTAACCTAAAAACATATGTGTGCAGACCTGTTGATTGTATGCTAACCTAAAAACTAATCATAAAATGAATCAAATGAACATGGTAAATTACAGAAGCAGAAACTGTAACTTAAAAAAATCTTTGTATTGGGGCTCCAACAAGGTAATTTGGCAATCATATCTAGTGATTAACTGTAGATTTGGGGAGATCAAGCCCTTCCCTAGGCTCTTAAGTAATTCTGGGCATCAAAGGAATCCTAAGATGTGGAGGTCATGTTGTGCCCACCCCATCCTCCACCCTGCCCTGGGAAGGCTTGGAGGTGGGTAAGGCAAAGTCAGGACAGCGGACTCACCCTCCCATTGTGTGGTGGGCACATGCCCAGTGTCTCCAGACCCTAGACCCGAGCCTACCAACCACAGCCAGTGAGCCTAGCTGAAGGGCGTGGCCACTCCACAGACAGGAGCCTAGCTGAAGGGTGTGGCCTCTCCACAGACAGGAGCCTGAGTGCTGCTGTTTGCTCTCGGGTTTGCACAGTAGCCACGTCAGGAGTCTCCCACAGCTCGGATCTGTTCTTGCCACCTGCAGAGCACCTGTGAAAGCTTCTCTCTCTCTCTCTCACACACACACACACACACACACACACACACACACACACACACACACGCACGCACACCCCAAGTCTGTGACACCCTTCCTCAGGGAATGTTTACATTACATCCTGCCAGTAATTGAATTACTAGGAGGAAATACAGGCTGGTCTTTTGAGATGACTTTTTCTCTAT